CATGCGCGTACTCTAATTAACGCGCATATACTCAAAATAACGCGCAGGTGGGCGTTATTACGCGAAAATACGGTATACCGATTTTGACTCAGGTACCAATTATGGAATACTATTTTTATAGCCCCAAAAATTCAAAAATCGCACGGGCTTTTTTTGCGGAGGCCTAGGTGCTGCAAAGAAAAACCTGTATGCATGAATCTAAATTTTAACTACACTGAATTTGAACTCAAAATTTTATATCAATGATTATTAAATTTTGAGTTTAAGTTCTGCATAATAAAAATTTAAATTCATACTTACAGGTTTCCCCTTAACAGCACTTATATCATGTTTTATTCTAAAATAGGCGCTAGATAAAAACGAAGCCTTGGACAACGGGTGTGGGGTTCTTGCTTTGTAATTCGGATGGGCCTTAATCTAGTTGTCGAAAGTACCAGGCTTACCGTTTGTAAGTTCTTCAGATAGCAAAGAATTAACCCTCAAAAAACATGCTGTGCCCTAACAGAGTGCGGACCTTGGTTTCAGTGTTTGTTCTTAGCTCAGGCATGCATTATAGAGTTCAATAAAAACTCTGGGTTTGTACACATGTCAGTGATCATTTTGTTGTTTTTGATTTTTGCATTTTTTAGTAGAGCATGGATTGTGTACACCTGAATCCTAAAACAACATCACGTGAAAGATGCGAGATATCGTTGGATCTTGGGAATTTGTTTACCACTTATTCGCTATCAGATTGCCGTATCAAAATTGCGAATCACTCTGTGACTGGTACATCACTGATATCGTATTTTTTCATTTCGAGATTCTCAGAAGAGGATTAGTAAAATGAAATTTCAAAATTAGTCGAAATATAATTGATTTTAATTAACAGATAAGCTTTAAAAAACCTCCCAAAACCGATCCTGTCAAAATCGATAGTCTGTCAAATCTAATAAGAAAATTTATTTACCAAGTCTGTTTCTGCCATATAAATCTAATAGTTTATAACATTTTCAAACCTGATAACCTCTCAATACTGATACAGAACCTGTCCACAATGTGTATCGGTTTAGGGAGGCTCAACAGTAATCCTTTTCATTATGTCTTTAAAAAATCCCCAATTTTAAACTTCTTTTGGGTCAAATAATGCAAACCTCCTCGTGGTGTGTCTGAACATTAGTGGCACGGTGTTTCAGGGCATGCCCTTAAGCCAAATGGCATGCCCGTATCATATGATCATAAATTTTGAAATTGAAGTACTCTGATTGGCTATAAGACCTAGAAACTATTTCAAGAACACTTTTAAAACTCCGCACGACAGACAATCAGATTCCAAGATTAGATGTAATATAAATCAACAATAAAAATATAGAAAGCACGATATATTCAATTTTTTTTAATTATAATACGGAGATTATATGGGTGAGCACACAGCAAAACCATGCTTAGAGTATATAGATTATATCTACTCTAAGCATGGTTTTGCTGTGTACTGTTACACCCGGAACTACCTCTTATAAGTCCGGTATAACGGTTTACTATAGCGACGGATGTGTTAGATGATTGATAATCAAATGCCGATTTATGCTAAGTAAATATAGGGTTAATTGCTGTTATGCTTTTAAGAGGATTATGTGATTTGCTATTACGAAAGAGGCAAACGGCCAAATGTATATGAAGATACAAATAGTCGTATAACAAGTTTACAGTTTATGATTTATTCGATAAGAAACTCGAGTTATTCGTGTATGAAGACACTATAACCGATCTACAATTATTCGAGCGATCCGTGTATGAAGACACGATTACTCTTCTGGGAATTGTTAGTTTTATTTAATAAAGTGTTCGAGTTATTCGTGTATGAAGACACGATCACTCCTTTATTAGTTTATTGAGTTATTTTGAACTATTCTTTTACAAGAGCGATACATGAGGCTTTTTATACATTTTGATCGTTATAGTCTTTTGCTAATGTTTCTATTATTATCTCCTTTAGCACTTTTCAGTACTTCTTAGTACGATTCAGTACTGCTAATATAACAAGTGCTTTAAATATAGTGGTATTTCCTGTGCTATTTAGTGCTAGTTAGTACTATTCAGTACTTCTTAGCACTCTTGGCATTAGTGTCACGTTTCTGCTTAATATCACATGATACTTAATTGCAGGGGTTAACAGTACTCACCCATATCGATATGTGGATTTAGAAAATTTCACATTATACCTGAGTACAGAATTTTTGGAGGTGTTCTTGGAGTAGTTAGATTTGGCAGTATAACATCTGGTTATATATAGAGGGGCATGCCCCGGGCATAATAAGAGGGGCATGCCTCAGCCA